TCTTAGGCACTACCTGAGTGATTTTCATGGGGTGAGGATCAGTTGAGTTTTCTACAATCTCCACAGGTTGGGGTGCTTTCCAAATATTCTCTTTCACCGTGATATCCACAGATGTGCTGTCACTGAAGGAATTCTCAGTCTGGCCTCCCATGTCCTTCACTGAGACCACCAGATTATAGAAAGGGTTCTTACTGGGATCCAGTTCCTTCGATCCTATCGAAAGCAGGGAAGAACAGAAAGGGAAATGTGTCTGAAGCTAACACAGATGTAGGCCCCTTCTTTTGAATCAGTCCTATGAAGGCATCCGTGGACTTACCTGCAAAGGTAAGTGATATTTCCCCTGTTTTGTTGTTTATCTGAAAGTACATGACATTGTTGATCTTGGGAAGCTGCATGACAATCTGATAAAAAAGCTGGCCATTGGGAGTGTCTGGATCATCCAGGTCTGTAGCATTGACATACATGAAAGGCTTTCCTATTTAGCAAAACATACCCAGAAAGAGAAAAAGATATTAATTGGAACCCAAACCAACCAGAGCCACTTTGGCCTTCTAAGATGTAGCGACAGATTGGGGTGGGGGTGGGGGGCAGGATGCCATAATTCATATCAGTGGGAAAGTAAACCTTTATTCTGCTTCCTTTCCCTGGGATGAGGTTTCTCAAAGTATGGTCCAGGGACCTCTAGGGGTCTCTAAGACTGTTTTTAGGGTCAGTGGAGTCTCAATTTATGCACATGAAAAAAAGATCCACTCAAAGCACAAGTTAATTTCATGGAGTTTAGCGTAAAGTGCCCAAAGAAAAGGCATTAATATGGCTTCAGATTCCACATGGTAACCAGCTTTTAAGAAACTACTACTTATTGAGCTTAGGTATAGTATCAAAGAATATCCATAGTTATCTCAAAATGCTATTATGATATTCTTCCCTTTTCCAAGCACATATCTGTGTGAGGCAAGTTTTTCTTCATATGCTTCAACCAAAACGGCAAGTTGCAAAAGAATGAGTACAGAAACAGGCATGAGAACCCAATTGTTCTCAATTAATTCAGACACTAAAGAGATTTGCAAAGAATAAAACAATGCCATTCTTCTTGATAAGTCTTTTTGTTTTTTGAAAATATAGTTTTCATTAAAATGTTTATGATTTTAAAAGAATTAATAAATTTTGAAGTTTCTCCGTTTTAATTTCTAACATGATAAATATCGGTAGATATAACTAGTGATGTATTGGAGCCAGCTTGAGAGAGCTAATAGTTGAATTTCCAGAAGTTTTGTGAGCAAATTATTAACACCATTGAAAATTTAAACAGGCCATGGCAGGAATATTTTTCCCACAGAAATTGGTAAATGCTATAAGCAGGGCTTCCCACCCCCACTCCCACCCCCTGCCCAGAGAGACAGCTATTAAACATTTACCAGCACCCCTCTGGATGTAATCCACATATAACACCACTGAAATATCCAAACGTTCATTGGAGTCTAATAATTTTTAGAGGAATACAAGAGCCCTGAGCCCAAAAAGTTTGCGAACCACTAATCTAGAATACCCTATCGATGCGGAGAGGAAGGGGAAGATGTGGAAGATGCTTATGTGGCAGAACTTATGAGAGAGTCTTCGGTATGAAATTTCAGGGGCAAAGACAGTGAAATTGCTCCACATAATAAAGTGGACAAAACACTTTTCCTGAGTTATTGGAAGAGGCCATTCAAGAATGAGAGGTGAGATTAACTAGCGTAGAGAGAAACTTGACAGTGAGCTGATGGACATGGCCAAGAATCTTTCTGAGAACACAGAAGTCTAATACTCATGTTTATTTTGTGCACTGTTCTGAGGTAATACTCTCTCATCTCCCCAAATTTTCAGTAAAGTCTGTGGCACACCTGTGCCTTTTTGTTTGTTTGTTTTTTGTGGAAATGAAGGGTAGGAGCGTAGTGAATGGATAAGTCTAGGGTTGGAAGTAAGAGAAGAAAAACAAATGGGAGCCAACAATGACCATGAGAATGTAAGATTCCTGAGAGGATATGGGAGAGTGAGCTCACCTTTCCAGAGCATTCTAAAGTGGTATAGAGCTCTAAGGTCTTCTAAAGCTCACTGTAAAATAGCGGTTCTCAACTGGGGAACCTCAGGGAACATTTGACAATGTCTGAGGACATCTTTGTCATCACAACTTAGTGGTAGGTGTTGCTACTGGCATCTGGGGAGTAGATGTCAGGGATGCGGTTAAACATCCTACAATGCATATAACAGCCCCTGACCAAAAAAGAGAGGATATCAATGGTGCCAAGGCCGAGAAACCAAGCTCCAGGGCAGTGATGGCGAACTTTTAGAGCTCGGCGTGTCAGCATTTTGAAAAACCCTAACTTAACTCTGGTGCCGTGTCACATATAGAAATTTTTTGATATTTGCAACCATAGTAAAACAAAGATTTCTATTTTTGATATTTATTTTATATATTTAAATGCCATTTAACAAAGAAAAATCAACCAAAAAATGAGTTCACGTGTCATAGGTTCGCCATCACTGCCCTAGAGCAATAGGGATAATAAAACAACTCCCAGAGGATTGCTGTGAAATTTCAATAAGATAGGAAGTGCTTCATGAGTGACGGCTGCAGCTGTTAGCCACATAAATCGGCCCCTTCTGCCGGATACCCTCCCTGCTTTCTGTAAATGCCTCCAGACTCCCATTACCTGGGCGAGAATTCTGCCTTACTGAGCCTTCGTATTTTGACTGGATAAACGTGGGTCGGTTGTCATTGATGTCCTTCACTTCTACTGTGATGGGGACCGGACCCTCCACTGTATTTCCGTGAGCATCCAAGGCTGAGACCTGATGGAGAAAGGGAAGGAAACCGCCGTGGTGAACCTAGACTTCATGTCACTCAGCAAAAGTCACTTGAGAGAAATTAAAAGTTCAAAGAACCAGCGGAGAAAGACACCCATAAAAGCCCAAATCGGGAGCGGCTAGGACAGGGGCCCTCTCAGGTAAGCCTGGGTGATCGTGACTGTTTTCCGGGGCTGGGGGGTGCTGTACTCTAGACATGCTTCTTTGCTAAGTAGCTGGAGTCAGTGAGGTCAGAGCACCTTGTCCCTAAGGCTGTGGAAGTGGCACAATGGCCTCTTACAGAGGCATTTTGATGGTCAACCTGTCGATCCAATAGTAGAAGTTACTACACAGAAAGCTTTCGGCTTGCTCTCCTCTCCCCCTCCCCCCACACACAATTAGCTCTCTATCATGCCTGCATATTCAGATACCACACACAAAAACTGACCATGGGTTATTTCTGCTTCTTGCAAGCGGCAAAGAAGCTCCATCCCCGCACTGATGCTGCCTTCTTTGTGGATCCAGAGCCCACACAGCAGACACAGGCAGGCGCCAGTGAAACTCACAGGCGTGTTGGCTTGGTTTTGCTCCAGGTGGCTGAGCATGCCATATTGAATGAGTGATGCCATCTGAGGGCCTTGGCAATGTAAGTTGGGTTGCTGTGGTCAAAAAGCCTAAGGAAGAGGGGACCTGCACCATACCCCTCTGTAGCTGGTAAAAAAAAAAAAATGAGGTTTACCAAGTATACCATTAACGCCAGGAGAGCCCCAAGAGGATTCTAGGCAAGGAGTGAAGGTGCCAGTGATACTTCCAGGACAAAGGATAGTCAGAAAGGTTGGAGTTTGGTGACTTTTCCTGGCCTCAACTCACCTGGAGTTTGTGAACAGCCCTTGTTTCCCTGTCCAGAGCTTTGTTGTGATATAGAAGCCCATCTGGTTGTATCTCAAATATTCCATCTGTCTCCCCGCTGAGTTTGAAAGTCACAGCAGGAGGACTGGCCTTGAACTGGGGAAAAGCCAAAGTCAGATGAGGTTGTAAGTAAAACAGTGTTGTAGATTTTGTAGAAAATCACCGATTCCAGGTAATGCTTTCATTTGTACAACCGCTAATTAAGAAGTTCTGAGTTTTTAAACTGCTCCATTCTAAAAGTTTGCTTGAACATTAACTAATATTCAAAATACATTTCCTTCAAGAAACAGTATACAATATACTTTAATATATGGACAAAAGTCAACCGATGCTTTGAATAGTAACTGGAGTTAGATGAGATTTTTCTGGAAATATCTGGAAACTATAACCTTGCCAACTTCTAAAAAAGATTTAAAAGAGTAGCTTTATTGCTAAGATTTAAAAAAAGACGTCATTAGTATCTCTGAACATTGTGACAATTAGGAGGTATTTCAATATTACAGAAAACAATTCAAAAGTGGCTTTAATTTGATAAGATTCTATAGGGTGTCCCAAAATTCACCCGAGATTTGCAATTCAATTCAATTCAATTGCAAATCTTGCGTGAATTTTGGGACACCCTATACACGACAATCTCTTAATTATTATTAACAGAATTCTAGATACAATGGAACACCATCGAGCAAACACATGTATAATCAGAGTCAGAGAAGGAAAAAAAGGAGTGAAAAGGGCAGAAAGATTATTTGAAAAAAGAATAACCAAAGTTTCCCAAATTTGAGAGAAAACATTAATCTACATGGCCAAGAAGTTGAATAAACTCCAAATACAATAAACTCAAAGAAACCCAAATTTAGACACATCATAGTCAAACATGTGAAATACAGAGACTCTTGAAAGTGCAGATTCATCATGTACAAAGGATGATGAACACCAATAAAAAGAACACCAGATTTCTCATGGAGGCAGGAAGACAGTGGAATGATAGATCCAAAGTGTTGAAGGAAAATGACTGCCAATTGTATACCCAAAACATTATCCTTCAAAATGAGGGTGAAATTAATCTATACTATGAGAGAGAAAACAGACTTTAAAATAATACCAATTTAAAAGAAAACGTTCTTATTAGAAAAAGAAAAGACAATCTGTAAGGGTCACTTCATCAAGAAACTATAATAATTATAAACATATTAGAGGCTCGATGCACAAAATTCGCAGCCCTGGCTTCATCCGGAAGGTCATCCAGATGGTCGTTCTGCTGTTTGGCCATTCAGTTGATTTGCATAGTATGCTTTTATTATTATAGATATGTACCTCCCAAGAGAACTGTTATCTGGACTTACTCACAGGTTTTCTTTCTTTCTTTCTTTCTTCCTTCCTTCCTTCCTTCCTTCCTTCCTTCCTTCCTTCCTGTCTTTTTATTTCTCTTCCTTTCTTCTTTTGTCGCCAATAGGGTACTTGTCACTGTTCCATACCTAAAATTACCACAGGCCTTGCCCAGTTCTTTCTTTCTGTCCTTCTTTCTTCCTTCCTTCCTTTCTTTCTTTCTTTTCCTTCCTTCCTTCCTTCCTTCCTTCCTTCCCCCCGCTTTTTTTTTGTGTGTGACCTAACTCAGAGCTTACTCACTGCAAACAGTTTTGGGGAATTTCCCAAAAGTAATCAACAGTAAAAATGCATCCAAGGCCTCAATGTAAACCCTAACACTATAAAACCCGAGAAGAATACGCAAACACCATGTTCAGGACTCTGGGTGAGAGGAAGCAATAGGGAACGTTTCTTAGCTGTGACATCAAAAGCACAAACAGCAGCCCTGGCCAGTGTGGCTCAGTTGGTGGGGTCAGTTCAAAAGGTCTGGGGGTCAATTCCTGGTCAGGGCACATGTCCAGGTTGGGGATTCAATCCCCAGTTGGGATGTGTGTGGGAGGCAACCAATCCATGTTTCTCTCTCACATCCATGTTTCTCTCTCTCCCTCTCCCTTCTTTTCTCTCTAAAATCAAACATATCCTTGGATGAGGATTTTTTTAACAAACACAAACAACAAAAGAAAAAATTGAGCTTGAATCAAAATTAAAAGCTTTTGTGTTTCAAATTACACTATAAAGAAAGTGAAAAGATAATCTATAGACTGTAAGAAAATATTTGCGAATCAGATATGTGATAAGGATCTTGTATGCAGAATATATAAAGAGCTCTTACATCAGTAAAAAGACAAAAAAACTCAATTGAAAAAATAGGAAAGCCCCTAGCCAGTTTGGATCAGCGGATAGAGCGTTGGCCTGTGGACTGAAGAGGCCCAGGTTTGATTCGGGCCAAGGGCACAGGCCTGGGTTGTGGGCTCATCCCCAGGAGGGGGTGTGCAGGAGGCAGACAATCAATGATTCTCACTCATCATTGATGTTTCTATCTCTCTCTCCCTCTCCCTTCCTCTCTGAATCAATAAAAATATATTTTAAAAAATAAAAGAAAAAGGAAAGTGGTCACCCTTCCCTTACCTGCCCTTCGTCCCCTCTGCATCCCACCAGACTTTAATCAGAACACTTCCTGGCATGTGCTTGCATGCTTGTCAGGTTTGTTCTCCTACCCCATGAGTTCCCTGGGGGCAGGATGTTTTGGGGGTCATCTTGTACCCCATACCCAGCCTAGTTCCTCTACACCAGCGGTTCTCAACCTGTGGGTCACGACCCATTTGGGGGTCGAACGACCCTTTCACAGGGGTCGCCTAAGACCATCGGAAAACACATATATAATTACATATTGTTTTTGTGATTAATCACTATGCTTTAATTATGTTCCATTTGTAACAATGAAATTGGGGGTCACCACAATGTGAGGAACTGTATTAAAGGGTTGTGGCATTAGGAAGGTTGAGAACCACTGCTCTACCCAGAAGGCACTTTGTACATGGTTCATAACAGAAAATGATTGTGTGCCTCGCCCACGAAGTTCTGACCTGCTTATGAAGCATAAATACCTAAATGAAAGGAATGAAAAATGTGAGGGAGTCTACAACCCAAGGCCCCGGCAAGGCAGAGAAAGTCAGTAAACCAGGTGATCCAGTGCGTGAGCCCCAACGGTTGCCCCAGAGCCACATTTCCTCCCTCCGGTTTGTACAGAGCAGTCTTTCCTGAATGGAAACTTGATTCAGGCCGATTGCTTTTGGGAGAAAACCTAAGAGCCTTAGAGTCAGGGCCCTGGCTGTCTCTGCAGCCCCCTCTCCCACTTCCTTCTCCTGCCCTCTGCTCCCATCACTCTGGCCATCTGCCCTCTCCCAGCACAGGGCCGGTGTCCATGCTGGGCCTTTGCTGGGACACCCCCCACCCCGCTTCCTCTCCAAGTGAATTCCTAGCAGCCGTGTAGCTCCCAAAGCATCCGCTCCTCCCTCCCTGCCTGACTTCCCCAACTGGAGAGGTCAAGACCTCTACAGCACCCTGCACGCCAGGCGGGCAGAGACACATGGGCACCCTGCCAGCCGTGCCCTGGGCCCTCTGCACGAATCTGCACTGATACCAAATGGAGGGGGCAGGCGGCAGCTCCCAGCCTCTCCTCTGTGGGCACAACTGTCCAACAAACCAGGGAATGCACCTGCCTTAGGAGGCAGCTTAGCAACCTCCCAGATATGGGGGGTGGGGGTCATGGGCACCCCCAGAGGCTAATCAAAGCATCCCCAACCACGCTGCGGCCAAGCAGGCTTCCCAGGGGATTTCCGGTAAACGCAATAGCATGTTTTTCTCCTCCATTACATTTCCGGGATTATTTCAGAGACCTTTAGAGCTGAAGCCTCTCACTCCCACCTGCAGGCCACCCTTCAATCCACTGCTTTTCTCGGTTACCTGCCTAAAGGACAGGACTGCCTCCCAGGGGGCCTTGGTCAACCACAGGCAAGGGCCTCGGGAGGGCGAGGGGGGGGGGGCACGGGATGGGGGGCTCAGAGGCGGTGGTGAGGCAGAGCAGCCTTTGGCCAGACGCATACTCCAGAGAACCCACACTGTCAAACGCTTCAAGTAGCAAGCGCACTGAACAGCCAGCCTGATGGTTGGCCATCCCACTCCTGAGAGTCTCCCCACCTTTGGAGGGGAGGGTAGCAGGGAGAGGGGGGAAGAGCCCAGCAGGGAGAGGGGGGAAGAGCCCAGCAGGGGGAGGGGGAAGAGCCCAGCAGGGGGAGGGGGAAGAGCCCTATAGGCACCAAGGTCCCTGCTCCCGGATGGTAGAACTGGCCCCAGACACAATCGAGGAAGCCCAAATGAGGATGTCAGGAACAAGGCCTCCCAACACCGAGGCCACCATCCCTGTTTAACTCAGCTTCTGAAATCCCTCGCGATCAGGAGAGCTGCCGGGCCTCTATCTTATTTCCCGGGCACAGAACAAAGGTCTACTGAGAGAGCGCGAGAGGTCAAGACGACAGCGAGCGAACGTGGTCATTACCTGGAATATGATCTGACTGGGTTCCTGGCCTTCGAAAATGGAGAACGTCATGGGCTTCAGGGGCCCACTGAACTTCCCCTCCAGGCCATGCCCGGTCGTCTGTTAAAGAAAGAAAAGTTAGCCTCACCATCTATTACCAACAGATCACCTGCTAATTCCAGGACTGACACGGGAAACGTAAAACCTTTAACCTGACTCAAGACCAGGTGAAAGCCCATCACAATGGGCAGAGAGAGGTCTAAAACGGGGTGAGGGTTGACCATGCCAAGATGGGTCGCTATGGGCCTGGCCTTGCTTCTCTCCTCTAACCCCTCACGCGTGGCCCTTCAGGGAGACTGGTCACTCCCAGTTTGCCAATGAAGCTGAGAGGAGTGAAGCTACCTCCTCCGAGTAAGGGCTGACACAGCACACACACGCGGATCTGCGTGAACAAAAGCTCGGGACCTTCCCACAGTGCCGCTCTGCCTTCTGCCTGCTAGATGGCTTTACACCAGCTTCTTCAAACCCCTCCCTTCACTTCCATTAGCTTAGAAGGAAATCCGTGCAAGAGTCGCAGGCCCCCAGAGCCCACAGTCTCCCCAGGGACAACTGGATGTATAAGGGGAAAAAGAACATGCAGGTATGTTTAGTACAATGCTTGCTTGGCACATAGTAAATTTTAGTCCAATTTGGTCTGAATTTGAACTGTAACTATAAGAAAAACTTACTGTTTCTTGTGTGGCAGCCGTGGGACTGGACCCTCCACACACATCATTCCTTCTGGTCCTCAACCATATCAGTCAGGACACTATCTCCAGAGACTTCCCCCAGCAGAGACACTGATACTGCTACGTGGGCTAGAGCCAGCCATTTTGGGCCCCCAAGCCCCATCTCTGATCCATGTTACTACACGGCCTTCCAGGCCATCACAGGACGCGTGCAACGGGCAGATCTGCCTGCCTGGTAGCCACCCTCCTGGCACTTTCCAGCAAGAGTTCTCTGCATTGGTTATATGGTATCGATGCCAAACTATTCTTCCTTCTGGGAGAAACATGGTCCCAAGCAAAACTCTAACAGAGGTGGGTTCTGCTTGATTTCCCTGCCTCCTCCCTTTCCCAAACCCTGGGTTCCTTACAGACTCTCTCCTCAGTGCCCTTGCAACATGTCATGCAGTGGTTCTAACCCCCTTGTGAAAACCAGTTCTCAGAAAATAACAAGAGAGCCGTAGGCAGCACAGACTATATGGCTGGCAACCATTTCAAACTATTCTCCCGGCTGAAGAAGCCTTATGCCAAAGGCAAGACGCTTTGCCTAAACTATCGTTCCTCGTGGCAAAGGGCCTGGGAGTAAAGGTGAGTGGAGGCAGGAGAGAGCAGGGGCTCCACCCAGTGACCCTGAGAGCCCACCGCACAGGCAGCAACTTCGTCCATCCACCAGAGGCAGCTGAGCTGAGCTGCCTCCTGAGCAAGGCTCCTGCCATCAGCCGTGCTCAGGCAGCATTTCTCACTACAGGTAGAAATCCCACCGGAGTGAAAGTCGAGAAAAGAAACTGTTATTTTCAACCTTTATCCGGGAAGAAAAATGTATGTCTCCTCCTTAGAAAAAAAGCAGAAGAGCCTGCGAGGGCCTGGGAGTAAAGGTGAGTGGAGGCAGGAGAGAGCAGGGGCTCCACCCAGTGACCCTGAGATCCCACCGCACAGGCAGCCACCTCCTCCATCCACAGCTGCGCTGCGGCTGCCTCCTGAGCAAGGCTCCTGCCATCAGCCGTGCTCAGGCAGCATTTCTCACTACAGGTAGAAATCCCACCGGAGTGAAAGTCGAGAAAAGAAACTGTTATTTTCAACCTTTATCCGGGAAGAAAAATGTATGTCTCCTCCTTAGAAAAAAAGCAGAAGAGCCTGCGACCATCCAATTATTGTGATAGATTCTTCTCTCTTCGATCTAGTGTTGTTTCCTAATATAAGCCCATAATTGTGAATTTTTACCGGGTTCCTGGCGCTGTGCTATGTGCCGTGGCTGCAAAGATGACTAAAACACAGTCTCTTCCTCATGGAGGTCAGCGTCCATATGAGTGCAGACACTGAGGATTTAAAATGCTGTAGTCATGACCATAGCTAATATTTATTGAGCACTTCGACTGTGCCAGCCACTGATCTGAGGGCTTTAAAAAGGCATTATCACATTGAATTGCCACAGCTTTCTATAAGGCAAGTACTCTCATCAGACCCATTTCACAGGGCAGAAAACTGAGGTGCAACACAAGCAACTCACTCATGTTCCTATCACCGGTAAGCCACAGTGCTGAGTTTGAACCTGGGTCCGACTTCACCACAGCCCTCTGATAATCTAGGTAGCGAAGGACATTTCAGAGGGTGGGAAGAGGGCGGAAGTCACGTGGGGGTGTTTGCCCAGTCTTTAAGCAGTCCCGGCAACCAGCTCTGAGCTCCTGGTCTTTGAGGATGAACTGCAGGTTATCTGCCCCTCCACCCTCCCACACTGGGAGGACGGCTATGACAGCTTCAACAGGTTCGTTCTGTTCCACTCTGTGACTATGTTGAACTGTGTGGGCTCCATGAAACTCTCTGGGTCTTGAAATCTGACCTGTTATTTTTGAGTCACAGAAGAAAGGAACCAAGACTTGAGGTATGACCATCTAGAAGCTTCCATCTAAAGAGAGAGCAAAGGCTTCCCATAATCTAGCTTCATGATACAAAATATTGGCAGGTGTAAGACATTTGTGAGTCTGATGAGTGACAGGTCAAGGGTTGTATTTCTTCAGGTTTCATCCAGCTCCAACCTGTCAGCCAAGCTCAACATATAGCTAAAGACAAATTTAACTAGAAAACTCCTGAACAGGTATGGGAAGAAAAATACTGAGCAGAACAGGGTTGAAAGTAAACAAAATGCTTTTCTGTGTGTTTTAGTGGTTATTTTTCATGGTCAAAGTAAAAAAAAAAAGTCATGATTAAGGGACTTACACTAAGACCTGTATCAGTGTGCTTTTAGCTATACATGGCGGTCTAACGCTGAGTGGGTAGATTTGTTCTAAACCTTACCCAAGTGCTACTGGCTTTTAAGAGCTGAAGAGAGAGTACAGACACACGACTTGTAGCCATTTCATCAAAAATATCACCTTGGGGAAAACTGTGTCCTTTGTATGAGATTTACTTTTGATAGACTTTTTTTTTTTTAAGTGGTAACCATTGTTCCCCTGGTATGCAACGGAAGGATGGTAGGAAATATTTTAGTAAATAAAGGAAGAGCATGCTTTTTTCTTACCAAATAAAGTGTGAGGAGACACAAGCTGTGCAGATGGGCTTGGGCCATCATGGTTTCCTTTTATTCAATCTCCTGTGAATAAACCAGACATCAAAGTGATTAGCTACCAGTCTGTTGAAACCAATTTTTTTTTTAAAATGCACTCATTTTACTAATATTTCAATCACTTGATTATCTTTAGGTATTATAGATATTTTCTTGGTTCGCTTAATCTTTTCTGTATATTTTTAAGTTTTATACATTGAACATTCCACTGATATACTCAGCATAGAAAAATGGTTATTAAAATTCCAAACCACTTTAAAAATGTAGGCCCTGAAATTTTTCAATGCCTTACATTTAGATAGCTTATAATTGAGCTTTTAAAAGGTAAAAGTACTGCCCCACTTTAGCCTCCCAAATGCCCTGAGAGTTTAAGAAAGCATGTATTAAGCTTATCTATGTGGTAGATTTTTTTTTGCTGGGTCACGAGGCAGCATTTTTAATTTTTTTTTTTAATGTGCCCTGGCCAGAATGGCTTGATGGTTAGGGTATGGGCCTGTACGCCAGAGGGTCACAGGTTCAATTTCGGATCAAGGGCAGGTACCTGGGTTGCAGGTCCAGTCCCCGCCTCCAGTCAGGCCATGTGTGGCAGGCAACCAATCTGTGTGTCTCTGTCACATCATATCTACGTTTCTCTTCTATCTCTCTCTCTCCCCCTCTCCCTCCCTTCTACTCTCTTAAAAAAAAATATATCCTCACTCCCCCAGTGAGGTTTAAAAAATTTTTTTTAATGTTGACATTATTGCAGACTTCCCCGACTTCCCCCTCTTTCTCATCTCTACCTAACCCTGCTTCCCCCATTTTGGCTTTCACCATACAGTTTTCCATGTCCATGGTGTACACATATATGTTCTTTAGCTAATCCCTTCAACTTCTTCATCCAGTCAGCCCCATGTCCCACCCCTCTGGCTCCCACCAGTCTGTTCCATGTGTCCATGCTACTGGTCCCATTCTGTTCATCAGTTTATTTTGTTCATTGGATTCTCCCCTCTGGCTCCCACCAGTCTGTTCCACGTGTCCATGCTACTGGTCCCATTTTGTTCATCAGTTTATTTTGTTCATTGGACCCCACATATTAGTGAGATCATATGGTACTTGTCTTTCTCGAACTGGCTTATTTTGCTTACCATAATACTTTCCAGTTCCATCCATGTTGTCATAAAGGGTAAGAGTTTTTTTGGGTTTTTTTTACAGCTGCATAGTATTTCACTCTGTAAATGTACCACAGTCTTTTTTATCTACTCATCTACCGATGGGCTATTTCCAGACCATGGTTATCCTATATAATAAAGAGCTAATATGCTAATTAGACTGGATGGTGGAACGACCTTCTGGAACAACCAGTGGGCGGATCCACGGGGCTGCGAGGCAGCCGTGGTCCTGAGGGCCTAGGGAGCCGGGCTGCGGGGGCCAAACCCCTTGCACGAATTTTGTGCATCAGGCCTCTTGTTGTCAATAATGTTGCTATGAACGTAGCGGTGCATATATTCTTTCTGATCCATGTTTCAGGATTCTTAGGATCAATATTTCAGGATTCCCAGAGGTGGAATTCCTAGGTCAAAGGCTATTCTATTTTAAATTTTTGAGAAAACTAGAGGGTCGTTTACAAACAGAATAACAGTGGTGCAGAAGATGGACTCAATCAGCCAGCCTGAACTGGAACCCAGCTCTCCCTGTTGTTAGTTGTGTGGCCATGGATATTCAGCTTAATATCCCTGCGCCTGTTTCCTCAAATGGAAAATGCATAGCAATTACTCAATAATAAATGTGTGCTCTAGGAGTTTCTCATAGGCAAAATTAGGAAGGAATTGTTATTCGTCAGATATATATATATTGAGGTTCAAAGTTAAGCAATTCACCTAATGACACATAACTAGGAAGTGACCCTGCCAGGCTTACAACCAGATCTCTCAGATTTCAAAGTCCAAAACCTCTTTGATTCTTTCTACTGTACTCTATCGCGTGATAGCTGCAGGGAAGTAGATATCGTCACAGAGAGGTAGAGATATAAAATGTATACATGCTAAATAAATTAAGTAGCTTGCCCCAAGTGTCTACAGCTATTTAAAGGAAGAGCCTGGACTAAAACCCTACCGAACAAAGTCTTTGAATGGTGGAACGACCTTCTGGAACAACCAGTGGGCGGGTCCACGGGGCTGCGAGGCAGCTGTGGTCCTGAGGGCCTAGGGAGCTGGGCTGCGGGGGCCAAACCCCTTGCACGAATTTCGTGCACCAGGCCTCTTGTTGTCAATAATGTTGCTATGAACGTAGCGGTGCATATATTCTTTCTGATCCATGTTTCAGGATTCTTAGGATCAATATTTCAGGATTCCCAGAGGTGGAATTCCTAGGTCAAAGGCTATTCTATTTTAAATTTTTGAGAAAACTAGAGGGTCGTTTACAAACAGAATAACAGTGGTGCAGAAGATGGACTCAATCAGCCAGCCTGCCCTGGAA